GATCATCTCGCAGCAGAGTCAGCATGCACATAGCAGGTTTGTTGTTTTCTTTAAGGTTTTTGCCATAGGACACGTATGCTCACTAGAGAGATAGAGAGATACAGAAGAAATGAAAGTGAGAAATCACCCCAGGCTTCAATCCTTTCTCCTCCATTCTCCTCCAGGGATCCTGGGCACACATGCACATGCATCTGGCATGATCTTTCAAGCCTCCAGGTCAGGGACTTAAACGGGGGTGAGCCACGTGTGAGGCCAGTGCCTTAACCACCATGTCTGCTGGCCTCTATATGTGTGCTTTTTAAGATAATTTAGGGTTGGGAACCAGCAGTTAGTGTAATGGCTATGTCGCTGGACTCCCACGTACGTAGTCGACCGCGGTTCGTGTCCCGGACCCGGTGGCTTAAAACTCACGCTGGGCGCGTGTGCATGCATGCCCAAGATCCCGAGAGGAGAATGGAGGAGAAGGGATTGTGGCGTGACCATCCCCCCTGGGGGGTGATTTCTCGCTTTCTGTCTCTATGTCTCTCTCTGTCTGGCTGGCGAGCGCACGCGCCCTACAGTAAAAATCTCTCCAAAAAAAAAAAATAGATAATTTAGGGTTTTTTTCTTTAATGATTTTTAAATATTTTCCCTTTTATAAGGTTTTTGAATAAAGATCATTTACTATTGTCATTTGTAAATGTTTAGACAAGGTTATAATTCACTCAGTAAATGTGGTGAGGGTATCTGCTTACAGGGCTATCACACTGTTTTTTAGAAGTTCAGAAATCAAGGACCAGCAGGTGACATTGTGTTTAAGGTACAGGATCCCACATAGCTGACTCTGCAGTTTGAGTCCTGGACCTGGTGGCTTGAAAAACACACTGGGCACGTGTGATATGTACTGCGAATCATAAGAGAAGAGTGGATGAGAAAAGATGGTGGCGTGGCTATCTCCCAGCGGGGTGATTTCTCACTTTCACTCTCTCTCTGTCACTCTCTCTCTCTCTCTTTTTTTTTTTTTTTGAGAGGGTTTTGTTACAGTGTGTGTGCCCTTGCCAGAGAGACAGAGAGAGACAAAGAGACAGAAAGTGAGAAATCACCCCCCAGGGGGGATGGCCACACTGCAATCCCTTCTCCTCCATTCTCCTCTCGGGATCTTGGGCACACATGCACATGGGCCTGGTGTAAGTCTAAGCCACCGGGTCCGGGACTCGAACCACGGTCAACTACATGGAAGTTCAGCAACACAGCCATTATGCTAACTGCTGGTCCCTGTCTCTCTTTAGCAAGCACAAGCCCGCTATTGCAAAAACCTAAAAAGAAGAAAGAGTAAAAAAGTCAAACTGGAAAAGTTTTTGCTGAAATATGATGCAAGGGTTTATAAAAACCAATAATATAGAACTCTATGAACTCAAAAGAATACACTAGAATAATGGTAGGAAAAGCAGGAAGAAGACATGAACTAGTATTTCTCAGCAGGAGAAATATAAATCGTTAGTAAATGTGAAAAGGGACTAGTCTTACCAGTCGTCAAAGTGCAAGTAAGTGTCAACTGGTAGTGCTATTCTTTCCACCAGCAATCAATTCATTACTCAATAAGACAAACAAATAAAAAGACATGACCATATCAACAGACAGGCTAAAAATTCATACTGGAAAATTTTATTAAATTGTAAATGTAATTAGTATGACACATTTGCCCAGTATGTTAATAGAGGTTAGAAAAATATAATCAGAAATTTGCAATGATGTTTTTATATTGCAGTATTGCTACTGAAAATATTAATTTATATATTTTTGGATAAATTTTATCTTGAGAAATGTTTAGAATTATAGTGAGAAATTTGTATCTGAGATGTACATAGCACAGGCATTGAGGCATTATTTCCAAGCAGAAGACTGGCAGGGAAATACCCTGTAATAAAAGCCACAGAGGTGGACCACCGTCATTTTCTCTGGCTGAACTTCCTAACCATGAAAACGTCCTAGGCAACCTTCTACATTTGAAGGTCTGAGCAGGGTTCCCTCAGAGACAGATGGTATTCCCAAAAGGATTGACTAGATTTGGAGTAAGATGCTCTCATGAAGTTGGTAGCCACCCCGCACCACCATTCTCTCTGCAAATGTCATTGTCTGTCTAAGCAGCACCTCTAAGCATGAATCTTTCTGCTCATGTTCTAAAGCCATAAACAAAACATGTTTCATTCTTTTAAAAAACTTTTTTCTTTGTTATAGGGTGCGTACATCAGGAGGGATGAGAGAGAGAGAGAGCAAGAGAGAGAGAGAGAGAGCGAGAGAGAGAGAGGGAGCATCTTCTGATGAGATATGGTCACATTGCAATTCTTTTGCCTCTATTTCTCTATCCTGTTGGGATTAGGGGCACGCATGCACATATGTACCCAGCATGCTTTCCAAGCTGGGGTTCCAACCATGGCAACCATATGGGATCTGGCTCCCTTAGCTCCTAGGCCATGGGGCTAGCCCTACTATTTTATTTTTGAAATCATTATTAGTTTCTATTCAGAGTCTTGGGTAGGTGTGGATGGTGAATTTTATCACATGTCCACATCCTAGTAACAGAATAGGTATGGGTCATGAGCATCTGACTTTTTGGCTTTGTATTGTGGGAAGTGGGTTCTGCCTCTCACCAAGATTCACATGGTTGGGCTGGCCCCATGGCCCTTTGCTTAGGGGAGCTAAATCCCACATGACGACAGCAGTTTGAATCCTAGCCCCAGCAGGTTAAAAAACATATGCTGGACACATATGTGTCTGTGCTCAAAATCTTGACAGATAGAGAAATGGAGGAGAAAGAATTGTAGTGTGACCATGCCCTACTGGGGGTTGCTTTCTCCCTCTCCCTCTCTCTTTCTCCCTTTCCCTCTGTGTCTTTCTCTGTTTTTCTCTGGTGAGAAAACATACCCTGTGGCAAAAACAAACAAACAAACAAACAAACAAATAAATAAATAAATAAATAAAATAAAATAAAATTCAAAAGGAGAGTCATGTGATAAAGAGTGTTCCAAAAGTGCAACCAATCCATTGTTTTTATTTTAAAAAGAGCTATTGAATGAAAAGAAGATTAAAACTATGCATTGGAAAATGTTATTAAGTGTTGAAAGGTCATAGTAAAGAGAATCTGCCATTAGATGGAAGGAGAAAGGAGATGAGGAAGGTAGGGTAATTATGCCAATTTTTTTTTCTCATTCAAGCAAATAAAAAATATTGTTGTATTGATAATACTGAAAAATTAAGAAATGTAGGTTTAAGTATAACATTTTAAAAATTCAGAAAAGATGGGACCAGTGGATGGTGTAATGGCTACATTGCTGGACTCCCATGCAGTTCACTGCAGTACAAGTCCTGGACCCAGAGGCTTAAGCTCACGCCAGGTGCGTGTGCGTGTGTGCCCAAGATCTCAAGAAGAGAATGGAGGAGAAGGGATTGTGGTGTGGCCATCCCCCCTGGGGGTGATTTCTCACTCTTTGTCTCTGTCTTTCTGGCGGGCACATGCACCCTATAGCAAAAACCTCTCAAAAATTTTTTCTTTTTTCCAAAAAAGAACCATAAAATCAATCAAAGGTGAAGTGGAATGAAGTGATGAAACGAACCACCAAAAAATCACACAAAATAGAAAGTAACAGAAACAAGAACAATCATAAGTACAGTAAAAAATATGCTAGGAAAGAAAAAAAAATTTGTGAAAAACACAAAATTCAACTAAATTGAAAGGGACATAGGATTATAAGTAAAGCATGGGCTCTTGGGTCTATACTCTGCTTTTAAAACTAATTCCTCAACTTCCTACCTATGGGGCCTTGGGAAGTTACTCAAAGATTTTTCTGTTTCAGGTTTCTCATTTTAAAACATATGTAAGGTACACCAAAGGAAAGCTGACTCAGAAGAAAATTCAAAAACTTAAATATATTCCTAAACAAAAAATAAATGAAGTCTTTAATTCAAGAAGTCAAGAACAGGGAAGTAATCCTAAAGTTATAAAAATAAAAGAAAGGAATTAATAAAAATAAAGAAATGAATGAGCCAGGAAAATGTAAAATGTGAAAATAATTGATAAAGTGGAACTATTTAGAAAAAGGAAAAAAACCTGAAATAGATGAGTTTCTAAAACTCTAATGTTTGGGGTCAGCAGGTGGCATGGCAGTTAAGGCACTGGACTCCCACATGGCCAACTGTGGCTTGTGTCCTGGCCCTAGCTGCTTAAAAACCACACTGGAAGCATGTACGTGCATGCCCCAAATTTACAGAGGAGCATGGAGGAGAGGGGGGAACGGCCCCTGTTTTCCCCTTCTCTCTCTGGCACGTGAAAAAAGCTCTAATTTTTGAAAGACTTGTGGTAAAGTATAGAAAATGCATGCACAAAAGAAAGCCATCACAGGAAACTAATGAAATAATATCTGCACATGTGCTAAAAGAATTAAGTTCCTTAATATTCAAAGAGTTTTTAGAAATCAAGAAATTACAAAGAACTTAGTAAAAAAATATTGGGTTGCCAGAGAAAAGTCATGAAGTATTTTTCTATGAAAAATGCATCATGACCTTTCCCCTGACCCAATAGGCAAAATACATGAATTTACAGTTTTCAAAGAAAAGAAAAGACAATGATTTGAGTACCCAGAGTGGATCACTTAGGTAGGAATTACTCATTACATTACAGTGTTTTAATAAAACTTCTTTTTCTGGACAAGTGAGCTATAGAAATGAGTGAGTTATAGAAATCTGGTCGCTCACCTAGGAAGCATCTGTGAAAGTAGCCATCCCTGAAACTTCTGTTTTGCAGGAAGTGTGAGTATCTGATGACAGAGCAACTCACAATGAAGTTCTCTAAACTCGAGGGAGATTGTCACTCTACAATGCAGATATTTAACCAGTCAAGGCACTAAATCTTAATAATACATCCATAATCTAAGAAACTGGGTAAAACAGATGAAAGGGGCAAAGTAAAACATAAATAGCAGAAAAATATAAGGATCTTTCCTTTCTGTATTACCATTTTATAGGCTTTGTATCATGGACCAAATTTGAATGCAGTCATAGATATGTATCGCAGAGTAATCCACCGTGTTCGGTACCGGCTTGGTCTTTGGAGAACAAGACAAATTATAAATTTATCAGAACTAGAGGAATGGATGGACAGAAAAAAATGTAAGTGAAGCAGGCATTTTTCATTTGATTTGGTTTGAAATTAAATATTGCAATTTTACATGTAATTACCCATAGAAGCCACAGATAAACTTTGTTTTGTATTGCTGTAAACTATTGCATTGAAGGTAGCTTTTTTTTTTTTTTTTTTT